GGACTTGAAAATGGTTCAAGATCATGATTCTCGTAAAGTCTTCTTTGCTTGGATATTCACTTTGTTATTGCAATTAGGCAGTTTTTTTCGAAAATTAGATTTTTAATGCCCTTTAAAAAAATTGGCCGATCGTTTCCTGCAACAGTCAGTTCTTCTGCATTTAAAATTGGTAGGTGGGTGGAATAAACCCTGTTATTTTTTGTTATTATATTATAAAAACTTTATTTATTTTTATGTATAAATAAATATGTTTATAAAACAGTACAATTTTAGTTTTTTTTTATAATTTCCCTTATAATAGTAGTATTATTTCGTTCTGAAAGAAACTGCAAATTTTCACTTAAACTGATTTATTCCCTATACCACGTAAAGGGAACGTGGTGTAGGGAATAAATCAGTTTAAGTGAAAATTTTCAGTTTCAGAATGAGAGAATACTACGATACTACTGTGGATACTACTAATAATTGCTAATTCAAATTTCCCACCAGCCAGAATGTGCGGTAATGTCTTACGATACGTTTTATACCTATCTCTTTCTTTTTCATATAAAGCACACATAATAAAGAAAGATAGCAATAAAGGCGTACGTGTTGCCATGGTCCTGCTAATTGGTTTCAAAATTGTTATTCTGGAACGCGCTCCCACTCTTTACTATGATATTTGTCAGTCTATTTTTTTTTGTTTGTCTAAGGTTTTGAGTCAATATTTTTTAATTCTCTTTCGTGTCGATTGCTGATTGAATTGGAGGCAGAAATGGCTCAAAAGGAAATAAGTAAATTGCCAACAGATATTCAGGCTGAGGCGACAAACGCCATATCCAAACTACTTCCTATTCTACTTCTTATTTAAATAAAAAAATAAATTCCTATTCTACTTCTTATTTAAATCCCGAATAACTTATGAAAAGGAATACAAACATTTTCAAAAATGGAAGCAATTAAAAAACGTGCGAGAAGAAATAAAGTTTTTAACCTATCCTCGCTGTTAAAGTATCATTTAATCTACCCTTATGGTTAAAGTACTATTTTATCTACTATTTTTGATAGATATAAGGCAATTTTAACAGTTGCTATTGAAAAAACTATAATTTTGTTTGTATGAATCATAATGATATATCTATAATGAATCAATACCATCAATATGTATGTAATCAAGTGTGCATCTTAAAAAAACATAAATTTATCTGAAAATTATCATTGTTATAAATATTTAACGTGTATGGCGCTCGTAAAGAATTTTTCATTTTTATTGCAAAAAATTCTGTCTGGATGTGATTGAAATTCATTATACGACTTTAATACAAAAACATAAATGTGACAGGAATGAGCAACCAAACAAATTATTAGTAATTATCATTTGCTAAATAAATTAACTTTTTACTATGTCGTAGTATATTTCTCTTAAGTTGTTTTCAAGACACTCATGCTCCTAACTGCAAGTAAATTCTCTTTGCGAAGATGAAACAATATTGCAAAATAAGTGTTGCATGTTCCGCATTAATTTTAGGTTATTATTAACCTGACAGGCTGGATTTGAAGAATATAGTTATCAAGTTGAAGTTAACGACTTAACTAAAAAACACGACGAAAGTGTGAAACTACATATTTCCACACCTATTACGTATCGCAAGAGAAGAAGGTATTGAAGGCTTCGCACGAACATATTTTTTCTTTGCTGTAATTGCACCTATAAACGCTTATGCTTTACTCAAAGTCATTCTAAAAGTACTGTCGTTCATTCTAAAAGAACTCTTAAAACCTAAAATAAATGTCAAGTTTTTAACGCTCGTCAAGTTCTTCTACTAAATACAAAAATTTGTCAATTACCGATGCTTGATTTAATAATAATCATAGATTATTTCAGGATTTCTCATTTTGCCCCTCCTTTGTAGATTAAACTCTAAATCAAATTCAAAATTGGAAGTTATTGAAACTATAAAACACAGGCATGCGGTTTCTGTGATGCAAGGGGTGTCTCACTATTGGAACTGCATGTATATTTTCTTGGCAGTCGCTGGCAGTCAATAACAGTCTTATGGCAGTCGCCTGTAATAAATATATGGCAGTCATAGGCAATAAAACGATATTTTTGCAGTACAGGGTGGGTCAAATTCGACAAAATACAGGGTGGATCAAATTCTTTTAAATTGAAAGAGCCTTTTCTATAGGAGATAGACAAAAACTAATATCGGTGTCTGGAGCTCAATTTTTGTCAAAAACATGATGATGAAAACCGCATATCGATATCTGTTACCGTATCGGAGTTACGGGGTGTTTTTGAAAAATATGCATTTTTAACAAATCGCTGTAACTTTTTTGCTATGGAAAATTTTGTATTTTTATGAAAACATTTCCAAAGCATCTTTTTACGTAGAATTTAATGGTTTAAATATAATTTTTTAAAAATTAATAATTTAAGAATTATCAACAGAAAATTTGATTTTTTATATGGGACACCAGATATATTTTTAATTTATTGAAAAGAATTTAAAATTACCTTTCCAAAAATATAACACACTAGACATTTTGCTCGATTCCTCTTTGAGATATGAGTATATAAAAATTCGCCCGGCTTTAAATAAGTAGGCTTTGAACGGCACCGGCTGTAATGCAAAAAAATCCTAGCTGTGAGCATCAATTAAAACGAAAATAATATTTGCAATGAGAGATGCAGAATTTTATAACAATTTAAAATATATTTAACCAACATCAACACATTTAAACTATATCTAATAACAATAAAAATAAATAGCAAACCAAGACATGAGATTTTGCTACAGATGTTCGACATATCGACCGTTTTCTGTTATGGACAGACGGGGCAGTTTTTGAACATTCATCGCGGAATTCATTAACTCAGTGGGGGTGAAAGGTACCCTCTCATAACTGCTAAGTATTTCTAATTCTTGTCTAGATTATACGGAAGAATAAGGAATCTTTATTCTTCCGCAAATATATCCATAGGATTAGATCCATGGGCACTAAGTCAGGCGGCCTCGACGGCCAACGGCTGGGATCTTGGTTAGCTATACAATTATTATTTTTGAAATTGGCTGCAAAATTTGCTGTTCAGAGGCGGTGCGTCGTCTTGCTGGAAAAATATGTTTTCGAGTTCCATTAAGGGCATATCATCAATAAGGGGTCCAAAGCTTACTAGTTAAAAGTGGCGAACTTTTAAAAATTCTGTATTTCGAAGGGGATTATAACAAAATATAAAGTGTGCTATATTTTTGGAAAGGTAAATTAAAATAAAAATAAATCAATTTCTCTGTACCTGATAACTCTCAAATTATTAATTTAAAAAAACTTATACTTAAACCATTAAATTCTACGTAAAAAGGTGCTTTGGAAGTGTTTTCAGAGGAATACAAAATTTTCCATAGCAAAAAAGTTACAGCAATTTGTTAAAACTGCACATTTTTGAAAAACACACCGTAACTCCGAAACGGTAACAGATATTGATGTGCAGTTTCCACCATCATGTTTTTGATGAAAATTGCGCTCCAGACACCGATATTAGTTTTCGTCCATTTCCTATAGAAAAGGATATTTTCATTTAAAAGCGTCGAATTTGACCCACCCTGTACATGTACATTTTTTACCCAAGTGAGACACCCCTCGGTGTGATGTAACGCTGTTTCGTGTAGTAAAAAATAAGTGAAAAAGAATCCGAACTAGAGGGCGTGTTATGTTGTGACATTTTCAAATGTTAATAAAATTGCCGAAAAAATGTTAATGCATAAATAATAATAATAATAATAATGTTAATGCAGTGTTAAAATTAAAGAACTTTGACTAGCGATAATTCATAAACTATAAGGGTTAATTATTAGATATATTGACATTAGAGCTAGTTATAGTATGAACCCCTTGGTCACTAAAAGTTAAGATTATTTCTTGATCCACAAGCAAGTTACATAAGAGTCAAATGTGCTCTGTGTTGCTTCGAGAAAAGTACGGCTATGCTCGACTTGGCTGGTTTGAGAAAACAGTGGCCATATTAGGTATTTTATTATAGGATTATTATAAAAGAGAAATATTGAAAGAATCCAAGGAATAATTCTTTTAGTAAATGAAATATTAATTTCATAAATTGAATGATTCTTTTAAGTCTTTTAGTATCACACATATATGCCTAGACTAAATTATAATGCATACAGGATGGCATAGTTCCCTGGATGATGCTATAAATAAAAATAAAAGAAAGTTAAAGCCCCCGAAATGGTAAATAAAAATAATATATTTTGTTTATTTTTAAGAACATTGGTGAACCATTTTTCTTGAAATTTGGTTACTCTTACACACATTTTAATGACAAAGCGAAAGACTATAGTGTAAAAATCCGTAACAGACCTGAATGGTACTTTCCATTAGGGTAGAGATTACTACTGCTGGTTCTCTTTTTATCCTATTAGATACAGTAATTTTAACAGATGACATAAAAAGTTAGAACTTTTTCACTTTAAGTTCAAAACGATGAACGGTTTTCAAGAAAAAAAATTGCGTTTAAAGGTTAAGTAACCAGTAGGAATTTGGATGGAGCCAGTAAACAATAAAGTTACATACCAGATATGATTTAAAAACTTACTTTCTATAAAGACTGTAAATAAAATATTGTACCAAACTTTCGTGGATGATATTACTAGATCAAAATAAAAGAAAAAGTTCCTATAAATGTATGGCATAAAATTATTTCTAAAAAAGCTACAGCCCGTGATATTGAGTATTAAGCTTCTCTTTTGGAGAGGCTCTCATATTGAACATATATATCTAAAGGGCTCTATTTTGAGTAAATGTTTGTTTTTCAGGATTAGGACCAGTAGGCTTGTTTGAATCACTAAAGAACGATTATACATTTTTTGAACTTTACAGTATTCTTTTAAGGCCAACTTCCCTATTGGAGAGGTTCTAAGTACATATAAACTCAAAACTACATATCTCTAAAGGGTGGTTAAGGGGTAGTTTAAGCAAGTTTTTCGTTAAGGACTAGTGGTACTCACCAGGACAACGTGGAGATCGGCGAGACGAGCAGGAGACAGACGGGCACGAGCACCGCGCGCATCGCATCACTGGGCCGCGCGCCCCATCACTGCTACGGCACCGGTAGTACGACCGACGGCGCGAGAGACAGATAGCGGCGGTGCCGCCGCCGACGGAGGAGTACCCGACGGGGCCGGCCGGCCGAAGCGTGCGTCGCTGCGCCCGCGGGGGGACATAGAGACAGGAGAGGGTGGGAAAGCTTGGGGGCTGGCAGGCGAACGCTCTGGTGGCACTAAAGGCTACCCTCAAGTTTGGGGAGTAACAATTTAGGTTGATTCTCACTATACCTTTCATATAAGCTACCGTGTGTCCAACGACGAGATCCTAATTAAAAAAATTAATTAATTAATAAATTTAAAATTTGACTGACAACTGATTACTTCAAAATATTGTGATCAAATGTATAAAACTGAAAAAATGTAATCGAGTTATTGTATTTAACAAAAAACGGTATGTGTTAATACAAAACAAACAAGAACAAAACACCACGTACCAAAAAATATAAAAAAGAACTATTTCTTACTTTCAAGCTTCATGAAACTTCCCGCATTTATGATTATATTTATCAATATAAATTCTGTACAAATACAAATTTGTAATATTCCACAGGAATAAATAAAACAAACTATTTTATTAATAATAACACTTACCAAATTTTAAACTTTAAAAAGCTGATTAATTAACTTTAGTCTTAATTTTTTTGAACCATTAACATTATTTTTCTGCAGTACTAAAATCCATTATTTACCTATCGTGTGATGTCGATATTTCACAGCCACTCCAGTTTTTAGTATGTGTTAAGTATGATCCTTCTACAATATACGAGATGCACTTATCTACGACGAGATGGTATACAAACTTGATTGATGGTAACTTTATTGGTGTATAAGACTTTCTGCCTGGGCAGCGAATATTAACCATAAACTGTGCTCTGGGTCTAGAGTTAATTTTCACTCGATTTTTCCTCCACTTGACTCTAAAAGACATAAAATACACGTAATAACAGGAATCAAAATGCATCATCTTCCAAAAACGCAGGGTATTTGACATAAGTTGACACAAAATTATAACCTATAATTTGGCAAGACTTTGACAAGCCTCAAAAATCTAAAGGCGAGTTCATACGCATCGGCGTCCGTTTGTCGTTCATCGTTCCGTCAAACCAATAAAATTGAAATACGATCTGTCAATTTTGAAATAAACCAATAAAACTGGTTAAAAACAACAAGACAGGAAGCATGACGGATTGATATTTAAACCCATCCATAGTTAAAAAATATTAGAAACTTTTTTTTAATAAAATAAATAGATTGGTATGGGACGGCATCTGCATTTCTTCTGTCATCGTCTGTCGAAATCTTACCTGAAAAAAAAAGAGTATATGATTATTTCTCTACTATCTATCGCAAGCTGTTCCTAGGATATTATATTAATTTTAATTATAGTATTTTTTAGACATTGTGAATGATCGTAAACTCATAAGTATAAAGCATAATTGAAACCACTAATTTATTCCACTAATTTCGAGGTTCTGAATGAGGCTTTAGTCGTTTTAGCCAGCTGAATTTAACAACAATCTATAACAAAATCGACGTGGCCTGAATCTGCCTGCACTTCCTCAACCTCGCGCCTGTATCTAACAATAGCGACGGCCTTCAGTCACCATCCTCACCAGCTCCCGTCCATTCATCCATCCGTCAATCCGTCCATCGATCTGCCTATCGACCGATCCGATCGATCAATCGTCCTCTTCCATCGGAAATCTGCATGCGGCCCGCGTCACACCGCTGACAAATTCGCCAACGGCGCCGAAGACAGGGGCATCAATAGCGCTGGCTGCAACAGCCCAAGGATTTACCTTAGGCCATATACATATATGTTTACTAAGTGGATGCGCTTTTTAGTAAGGTTATCTTGAAGCTGTGTGAAGTCGAGATTTTTCTAAAAATGACGTCAAGAAAAGCAGGCAAGCAAAAGCAGCAAGTAGTTCATATCAAATACACTTTTAGTCACGTGATTGAGCTTGACCGGCACAGAACGATTGGCTTGACGTAACAAAAATTTTACTCGAAATACCAAGTGCGTGGTATCAAATTATTTGTAAAAAAATACTTTTTTCAAATATGCTAATGAGCCACCCTCCTTCCATTTGAATAATATAATTCCATAAAATCAATAAAATGAAAAATATACGAAATAATATACATGTTCTGATTTCTTTCGAAAATCGACATCTATGAAACTATGAACCCTTCCTGGACACAAACGGTACATTGTGAGATAGGAAATTGTAGAGAGAAACAAGCCCTATAACATAGGATACAACATTTTAATGAACAGTGCTTTCCATAAAATCAATAAAATGAAAAATATATGAAATAATATACATGTTCTGATTTCTTTCGAAAATCGACATCTATGAAACTACGAACCCTTCCTGGACATAAACGGTATATTGTGAGATAGGAAATTGTAGAGAGAAACAAGCCCTATAACATAGGATACAACATTTTAATGAACAGTGCTTTTCATAAAATCAATAAAATGAAAAATATACGAAATAATATATCAGCGTGCAGCGGTGCAAAGCTAAACTAAATCTCGGAAATCTCGGACAGGCTGACGGTAATGCCAGCTACATCTCGGACAGGTTTTGTGCCACGAAATCGCCTATAAAATTGCGCATCTTCTTATTTCTTCAATCAACACTATTAAATTAACTAATACGCGATGTTTTCAAGGAACGCACCGCGTAAAGCGAAGGACTAACGTATATTTCTTTCATTCTATATGTTCATTATTACATTTCCCTCTAATGAAGATGATCTTACATGATCTTCATCCACCGGAATTTATACCGGTTACACGAAATCGATCGAGGAAAGGTGTCCAAGAGCACCAAACGATCTAAGGAATTTTACATACACGCCAGCAGGACGACGACGGACTGCTAGCTCCCACTCGGCCCCGATAATCTATCTCGATAGCGCTCCTAATGGGCAGCCGGACTGATTTAAGAGACAGGCGGGAGACGGCAGACGGAGCCGGCCAGCTCTACTGTTCTGCGTGGCGTTCTCATCCATTAGGCAGTACACCGAAGACTTACCTCTTCGTCGTCGTTTTTTCCGACGGCGGACGTCAATTGCTCGTGGCACTTTGTCCTGCCACTTGGAATAAAGTACGATACGCAAATGGCGGCCTGAAGGGACAATGCTGCGCGCCGGACGTAAACCAGTCGCGGGAACGATGCGAATAATGCGAGCGGCGGCCGCGAGACGGGCGCTTTATGCGCAGATTTGTTGAGGGCTCGCTTGGTCTCGATTGACTTTCGATTTTGTTTCCACGACGTTAAGAATACATTTTAAATACATTACCTCGTAGCCTTATTCTTCTTTAACGGACGCATATTTAAGTAAGTCTCATTTTACATACATACTGCCATTACTCGCTGAGGAGTATTTGACACGCATCAGAAGATGGTCACGCAAGGCGTTTTCTTTCATGAGGTTTTCTGTAACTAAAAAGCCCGATACGTGATGTTATCTCTCTTCAGCACTCCGGACGTCGGGGCGCAACGTCGGGACAACCTCGTACCAACTCTAGTCTACACTAGTTTGGAGAATAATTTTTGGGTCGAAACGACTTTGGATACCTACGTTGGCTAGCAGCCTAATTTAGTACAAACTGCAACGTTGTTTAAAATCCTAATTCACAGAAATACAAAACTATAATAATGTGGCGTCTAAGTCGCGTTTTATCCTAAATTATCTAACTAAATCATAAAAATAATATGTTTACTATAATTATCCCAATTTAGGATAAAACGCGACTTAGACGCCATATTAGTTTTGTATTTCTGTGAATTAGGATTTTAAACAACGTTGCAGTTTGTACTAAATTAGGCTTCTAGCCAACGTCGGTATCCAACGTCGTTTCGACCCAAAAATTATTCTCCAAACTAGTGCAGACTAGGGTTGGCACGAGGTTGTGCCGACGTTGCGCCCCGACGTTTGGTCGCGTAACACAACGTTGTCCCGACGTCCAAATGCTGCTTGGGTACTGTTCAATACAGTTTCGTTTCTTAGTGCAAATCAACCAATTTTAGAGTACATTTCACTAGTCCGAAAAAGTAGCAAAATAAGCCTAACGCTTATTTAAAGTTTTATGTAAAACTGACTAGGTATTTTTACACAAATAAAGAAGGAAATTAAAGATAAAAGATTATACTATATCCGTATTGTAGCACATTTGTAGACAACTTTTTTATTTTTAAGATTTTGATGGATATACCCTGGATATTTCTCCTCAACAGTAACAGAAATCCAGAAAATAAATTTATATTTACTGCAGAAAGTTTCTCCGTTAAAATCCAAACAGAAACCAGCTTATCAGTTTTAAAATCAACGCTGCCAAGACCAAACTTATGGTAATAGGACGCCAGCCTACAATCAACACCGCATTGACCGTGGATGGAAATATTATAGAGCGAGTTCCACGATTTAAATATCTGGGTGCCATGATCAATGAACGATGGGACTGCGATGAGGAAGTTAAACTTATGAAACGAATTATGCAAAGTCAACATTTTTTAAACTTAAAAACTTCCTATTAGCACGCAGTCTCCCACTAACACTTAGACTACGGCGGGTAGTGAAATGCTACATATGGCCCATCTTACTATACGGCGCAGAAACCTGGTCACTCAAGGCTAGAACCCTGAACCGCATCGAGGCTTTCGAAATGTGGACTCTCCGGAGACTCTTACGTGTGCCATGGACCGCACATGCAACCAACGAAGAAGTTTTAAGAACTGCAGGCTATGAACGAGAAATGCTTAACATAGTTAAAGAAAGGAAAGTCTCATACCAGGAAAAATAGAGGGACGGCGAGGCCCAGGAAGAAAACAACATTCCTGGCTAAGAAACATACGGGATTGGTGTAACATCAGCGACGCAGCCACCATATTTCGAAGAGCCGAAAACGGCACTCTACACATTGTATGAAGAGTACAGACAATCGCCAACGTGCGGCTAAGCACAAGGCACAGGAAGAAGAAGAAGTTAGATATGCCAGATGGCAGTAAAGGAAAACAAAACAAAAGTATTT